ACACACACACACACACATATATANTTTTATAGTGTGGTGACCAAAACTGGATGCAGTACTCTAGGAGTGGACTTACTAGGGCTTTATAGAGTATAGTGATCTCTGGATGGCTTATAAATTTGTCTAACATTCAAAAACAAACAACGATATAAAAACAGAGAAACAATACAAAACAAAGGAACAATGATGTCAAAGGAAAACAAAGCTGGATGGGAACAAGAAAAAGAAAGGAAGGAAGCATCTTTGACAAGGCCTGGATGGAGAACCACATCTTTAGGGCCCTTTGATATACCAAAAGATTGGGGGAACCTTTCAAATCTTAGGGTGCAGAAGGCAGATTTTTAAAAATTCAGGGAGATATTCGGATACGTTTCTGCCCTGAAAGTAGCCCATAATGAACTTCCTGGCACTCTTAAATATCAGGAAGTGACAACAGAAAATGTTTAATGACATTTTGCATTAAGCTATAATAATGCTTGATGGTCATTTCATATGTCATAAAATGTTTTCTATAACTTGCCAAATTTCAGTTCCACAGGAACGTGTCCTGGATTTTGTGTGCATTGCGTAAGTTAGCCAATTTGAAAAAGTTGGTTGAAAATCCCTTGCACCATTTTGCCCAGTTAAAAGTTTCAGACACAAAGGTGCTTCTTTTAAAAGGCAACTGGGATTCTTTTGTTTTTTTCTTTAAGATCTTTTGTTTTTCATCCAAGAAGCTTCTTCAGTTCTGACTGAATGACGGAGAATGGGAGGATTTATACTCCTTGCAGTTATCTGGTCCTTAGCCCTCTATCTGAGAGACGTTGAGGCCACTTGGAGATTTATTTGTGTCCTCCAAACAGCCTCAATGACTCGTAGAGAGAGTCATTGGAGGAGAAGTGAAACATCTTCAAGGAAAAACAAAGAAAGAAGCACCTTTGGGACAAACATAACCTAGATGACTGAGAATCTCCAGAGACAATTACAGACACAAGAAATTTTAGCAGTGTATAAATTCTAGGACAGCATTCCAGATTGAAAATGAAGCAGGATTGCTGAATCAGAAGCAGGCAGTCTTGATGAGCATGTAACATGTCAACTACCTTCCAGTGTGAAAACAGTGATTCCATTAAAAACTCCCAAAATAAAATTTAATAAACGAGATTTATTCATTGGGGAATCTAGACTCTTTTAGCAGCTTAAATCTTGTGCAAAATTGGCCATTCTTCTTTAAACATAAAGGTTCCCCTTGCACATGCATGCTAGTTGTTCCTGACTCTAGGTGGCGGTGCTCACCTTGGTTTCAAAGCCGAAGAGCCAGCGCTGTCCGAAGACGTCTCCATGGTCATGTGGCCAACATGACTAAATGCCAAAGGCGCATGGAACGCTGTTACCTTCCCACCAAAGGTGGTCCTTATTTTTCTACTTGCATTTTTACATGCTCCCAAACTGCTAGGTTGGCAGATTCTGGGACAAGTAATGGGAGCTCATTCCATTATGTGGCGCTAGGGATTCGAACCACCGAACTGCTGACCTTTCTGATCGACAAGCTCAGCGCCTTAACCACTGAGCCAACACTCTAGCATAGTCATTCCAGCTTTTTCCATACATTGCCATTTCAAATATTGGTAGTCTCAGTTTGAACTGATGTTGCTTTTTAGCAGCAATGCTGCTGCAAGAGATGAATGGCGTGAGAGCTGAATTTGTTCTTTGAACCAATAACCACCCTCATTACTTTACCGAAATAATATTTCCTCATGGCTGAAAGGACATCATAAATATCTACACGTACTAATACAACTCACCTACTTTATGCATCTTTCAAGAAGGACAGATTAAGGGGAAATCCATTTTATATAAATGCAACATGGATGGCTGAAATAAATCACTGGGGCTCAAGATGAAAGTAGCCAATACGAGCCCTTACCTGTCATTAAACAGCAGAGGACCTCCAGCTCTTCATCCCACCCAGCTCTCTAAAAGAGAAACACGGGCTTTGTTACAGAGAGTGAGCAACTCCAGCTGAAGCATCTGTTCAAAGTGCTTTTCCTACCATCAGCCACATCAAAGCAGGCCTCCTGTGAGTAATGTGCCAAACATCACAAGTGGGATTAAAATCATGTTTAATGGCTTTATATGCCATAAACTATTTATATAGCTAAAGCCCAGAGGCTACATGGAAAGCGCATCCTGTGTGCCAGGATGGAGCAAAAACTGGAGGGGATAAGGTTTTTTGAGTCTTCTTGCACCTAACCGATAGCTTTCTTCTGCTCTGCTCTGCTCTGCTCTGCTTACATTCTGTGTTTAAGTTTGTAACTTTGTGATATCTGCAGAAATCAGAAGTGACTGAGAAATGGTAAACCCACTCCATTGTCTATGCCACGAAACACTGGCAGTGTGAATCTATAAAGTCTTAGTAAGACTACACCGAGAGTACTGCATCCAGTTTTGGTCACCACACTATAAAGCAGATGTTGAGATTTTAGAAAGAGTGCAGAGAAGAGCAACCCGGATGATTAGGAGACTGGATGCTAAAACATACGATGAACGGTTGCAGGAACTGGTCATGGCTAGTCTAGTGAAGGGAAGGACCCAGGGGAGACATGATAGCAGTCTTCCAATATTTGAGGAGCTGCCACAGAGAGGAGGGGGATCAAGCACCTGAAGGCCAGACAGGGAATAATGGATGGAAACTGACCAAGGAGAGATTCAACAGGGAAATAAGGAGAAATTTTCTGACAGTGAAAACAATCAACCAATGGAACAGCTTCTGAACACCTTCAGAAGTTGTGGGAGCTTCAGCCCTTGAAACTTTTCAAGAAAAGACTGGACTGCTATCTGTCAAATGGTATAGGGTCTGCTGGGTGGAGGGTTGGACTAGATGCCCTACAAGGTCCCTTCCAACTCTGTTAATCTGTATATGATTGCTTGAACTTGGCAGTGTGATTTTCTTTGAGTTAAAACAAGAAAGCATTTTATATGTGTGTGTGTGTGTCCCATTCATTGTGTATAAAGTTAGTACCCACCCCTCTCCCAGAAGAATGAAATATCTTAGGAAATATTAAATAGGCAGAATATTATATTTCCTTAAAGGGAAAAATTGAGAAACATGGTCTCGGAAACCAGCCCCTACCTTTTCTTAATAGCCCATAGCAATTGTCAGACTTAAGAGATAAAGTGATAGATAGCTGTATTCATAAGAAAATACCCTCACTCAAGTTCCAACAAAGGTAAGATTATCTGTCAGCCACAATAGGAATTGCCCAACACCCCTTCATTGCATCAGCAATCCAAATCTAGCTCAGACAACTTACAGAGCCAGCTATGACCCCCTACATAATTCCTGCAACAGTCAATAGAATACATGTTCTTGCACAGGAACAGGAAGCTCAAGTGCAAAGCCCAAGAGAAGGTAAAAAAAAACCTCACTCACAACTCCATGTGGTCAGCTGCACCAGAACCCTGCGCTTGGTGCTTCTGCTTCATCATTAAACCATCTTTCCAATCATCCTCCATGTTTCCAGTGTCTTTCTCCCAACTTGGAACTGAACCAGGTGGATATTTCTTCCAACAATTGCATCCTTCTGTGTAGAATGATTGTCGGTTCCATCCTCAAATATTAAGAACAGGCTCAAGCTGTGTTTGCATTTCCATCTTATATTTCCACCAACTAAACATTTCCAAGAAGAAGAAGAATGGACTGTGGCTTTCATTCCATTTCAAGAGAAACTTTAAAAATGCTTTCTAGCTATGCCGGTTTATAAGCAGTCTCTTTCATGAGCTAAAATGCAGGCCCCTCTCCTTCTGTGACTCTATTACTTAAAAAAGGCTTACACAAATGATCGATTGCAACCAAATAAAATCCCATTATGCTGAATAAATATTTTTTCTGCATTTATGCAAATTTCACTTGATTTCTAGGGTAGAAATCTTTAGCTTGTCTTTAGAAGGCCATTAGGAAGCAGGATGGATGTTTTGATTTTTCACAGGGAAAATAAAAAGACTTTTATTTGTCCTTAACCTACAGTAGAATTTGTTAAACTACCATAAAGGGAAAAAAACATACATCGAACAACAGAAAGAAAATCTGCTTTCTAGGAGCCCAAACAGAATCCGTTTATTCATCCTACTCAGACAGGGAACTGTATTGCCAAACAAAGGGGGAACTATGAAGAGAAGCTTGATTCATACATAATAAAGGAAGGTGATTAGCTGTTGTTGTCTAACAATAGAGTAGTGTCAAGATGCCTGCAAATGGATTAAGAGTGTACTGGATGTCTCTGGGCTCTTGTGGGAGCACATCTCATTTAAATTCCAACCTGTGCTTGCCTTTATTGTAATTTGGATGGCACGTTTTTGAAAATGAGATTAAAGCAAATTGAAAATACCTATAATTTCTCATTATAATTTCCCAGCCAGAAGACCATGGCTATACTCCCAACAAGGCATTCATCCCAGCCTAGTAAAATCCTCACTACCACTAGGGTGAAGTCAGCAAGGGAATAAATTTACCCCATGCCATTTTGACTACTACTAGGCCTTTATTTTTTTGCTTTTCTTCCAAGAGCCGAGGTGGCGCAGTGGTTAGGGTGCAGTACTGCAGGCCACTTCAGCTGACTGTTATCTGCAGTTCAGCGGTTCNGACCCAGACTGTGGGGGCAATATGCTGACTCTGTAAACCGCTTAGAGAGGGCTGAAAACCCTATGAAGCGGTATATAAGTCTAACTGCTATTGCTATTGAGATGCTTCGTTTGATCCAAACCCACAATTCTTTGGGCAAATGTCTTTGTTCTGTTTTGTTTATTCTAAAAAAAAAAAAAGTAATACAGCTAAAGAAGCCAGGTTGGAAGATCACGAATACAAAATAATTCTTCGCTGAAAGTATAAAGAGGACTATAGACAACCGCTCCTTCTTAAGCACCATGATAATGGAGTCCTTGAAATTTTTCCGTTCAAAGGCCTTAATAAAATAGTGAAATCCTTGCAAGAGTCATGCCTCTCAGGAAGAAAATGGCCTCAGATGTCCCTGATCTACACCGATCTGCTTTTCTCTGTAAGGAAGATAAGTAAGGATGCCTTTGGCTCCCTTACTTATCTATTCTGCTCAACAAATTCTTTGGATCCATCCAGATATGGAATTGTGGATGCATCGCAAATGACCTTCCCACAGTCACTTGGGGAAGAAATGGCCAAACAAGTAGTAATTGCTCTCAGATTTACCCGGCCTTTAAAGCTATCATTCCTTCAAGAAAAGGAATTTCATTGTTGGGCCATTAGATTTTAGATGCTGAAAGGTCAAATAGGTATCTTGGCTAGTTACCGCACATCCATACATCACAAGAGTAGAGCAAATAGGAGCCTTTCTTCAGAAAGACACATTTCTGTACATAAAAGCATGAAAGCTAATATATTGGCCATTCCTTTTTTTTTTTTACAGATCCACCTCTCGTCAATCTGTCAGTAGAACCTCAGCCCGTCCTTGAAGACAATACAGTAAAGTTTCACTGCTCTGCCAAAGCTAATCCCGCAGTTACCCAATACAGGTAAGTTCATACACTTGTTAGTTTGTTTGGAAATAACCATCCATTTATCCTTGCTTGCTTGAATGGTAGGGACTGCTTACAATCACAGAAATGCTTGTTTCTGTTCCCTTGAATGTGTAAAACAAAACTGATTAATAATTAAAGCCAACTCAATCACTGCAACTGATGTAAACATTAGCTGGGCTAAGAAGTCATAGTTTTCATTGGATGCTACTCTACTTGTTGGCAGCAATAGGACACATAAGGAGTAGGCATGTTGAGTTGTTGGGAAGATAGTATTTCCAAAAAAATTAACATTATTATTTTTTCCTTCTATATCCATTTGTTAGTAGACATTTTGGAGAAAATGATCCACAAGTATATATTCTAGGGGCTGAGATTCACTAATAAACTTAAGCTAACAATGTGTTCAAGAGTCATGGTCAACCCTCTATAAATCACAGAACAGAATTACACATTCTACTTCTAATTCAGTCCGTATGACCAAAAAGCTATTCTGGTTATCTGTAATTGGAAAAATGAAATGTTGATTCTATGCATAGATAAACTCAGACCTGGGGTACAGATAGCTGGATTTCAGTTCCCAGATTCGTACGATTGTTCATGCTAACTGGGATTCTTTTTTTGAAGGTCTCACAATTGGAGGGCACCGATTAATGGGACAAGAAACATTTAACAGATATACTTGTCAACAATACTTAATTTTCCTAATTCTTCATCTGAAATTCTTGCAGCTTTGGTACTTCCTGGTGGTCTCTCTTTTGATTGTGTTGAGTTTGTTGAGTTTAGCCAAGGTCAGCTAGAGGCTGCTTCAAGATGGGAAATGTTTTTTTTCAAGCTTAGTGTAGGAGATGACCAGGCTGAGCTCAAGGGAGGGGGTCAAATGCATCATCAGCCATGAACCCCTTCATTCCCACAAGAAATCTAAGTTGAGCCCACCTTGAATCCCTGTGATTCTACCGCCACTTTGCTTGGGCCGTTAGTAGTTCAGATTCTTGTAGAGAACTTAAGCTTGCAATAAACCTTTAAGTCCTTTTGAATTTCTTGGATCATGTGATCTCTCTGGCATTTGACACTTAACAGTTCTTCACTCTTAAGATAAACTTTCACTTGTAAACCCCATTACCCTATTCACTACATCCACCACCAGGACTAAAGCTCCTGGTACCATTTCTGTGAATCATCCATTGGAGTGCTTAGCTGGCTGGGAATGTCTCTGTTTTCATCCAGACATTCTTTGAGCACTGCTTTATTAAATCATTTATAAGTGCAGACTGCAAAAGAGCAGGTGTGGGGTGTGTGTGTGTGTGTGTGTGTGTGTGTTGTTTTAGTCCAATTAACTGCTTGGAGTATGGAAGACATACTCCTCTCTAGCAGAACACAGCACACTTCTGCTGATTTCTCACTTCTGTCCCTAGGCTGAGCAGATAAAGCTGGTGACAGGCCCACCAAATGTTGCACTGGAAATTCTTTGTGTTGATGATGTTGTTACTCAGTAATGAACTCCAGTTGTCTCAGCTTGGTAACAGTCTGTGCATTTTGTTGGAGCTGCTACCGTAACACACGTGGCAGCTTCTTCCTGATCGAACATACTGAGGCTGTTTAGAAAGCATTGACAGTGGACAAGCAAAACCATCTGCTCAGGGATGTAATTTACAGAGCTCACACACCGAATGTGGACTCTGTTTCAGAGAGGATTGCTTTGTTATAGGTTTCCTGCATCGCGTTTGACTTCATGACTTCAACTTTGTTAATTTTATTTGATTACAGCTTTAAGTGTTGTTTCTAATACCTACTCGGTGGCTTTTAAACTTTTCTCCCAGGCTGTTAGATGTCATTACCTCTGGGAGATCCAGATCTATGACTCTTCAGAAGCCTAATGTTGTGGCCCACCAGTGGCCAGCAGAGCTGGTGCCAGACTCAAACAGTGTAGAGGTTGGGGAGGAACATGTATGAACCTGGAGGACCCTTTTAAATTGTGGACAACCCGATCCAGGTTTTATTCCTTGTTATCAGTTGCCTTAGCAATATTGTTGAACCTGGCTAGCAGTTAAAGAAAATGGGAGAAAGAAAATGGAGAACATCTGATAGGAAATGCAGCATGGATGGGTTGTTGTATTTCACTAAAATTAGAAAGTAAAGATAGTTGTTGAGTCTTAGCTGCTGTCATGGAATTGCTTAACAAGTAACCTGGGTTAAGGGGAATACTTCAATCAACATCCTTTTTTATTTTGGGGAAAAAAACGACTTGCCAAGAATTTGCCTTATTTCAAGAACATAATCATATTTTTTCATATAAGCTAGATGAATGCTATAGGTTGTGGAGAGAGAAGGGATTGAACAATGCTGAATGGATTTCTGCTGTAGCATAACAAGTTCATTAAATTTTGTGGGCATATGGATATGATAGATAAACTAAGCCAACGAAATCTGCCAACTGTTTCAATTAATTTAAATAGGACAGCTCTTGAATGTAGTATGAAAATGACAGAGTACCAACAGAAACTATTCCTTTAACACTGTTATTGGAATGTAATACATTCGAAGATTGCCTAGGTAAAGCTCTTACCAAGAGTCAAGATTTCTGACATCTAAACAAAACAGCATCAAGTCTCCATCCTGTAGGTAGAATAATTGGAAATAAAAAAGGTAGTAGTAAGCAGATGAAAAAAATGTTTAAATGATTATGGATTGTAATATGTCTCTGCTAATGTGGACAATAAAATAGACTGGGTCTACATTAGTTATTAATTGTTATGTTTGTTTGTTGTCCATATTCAGGAGCAGCATAGGTTTTAATCCATGGAAACTGGTTTCATCCTATATCAGGGTGGCATAGAGAGCAAGCAAAGTTTCCCCAGATCTTGGACACATCAGCTGATGACTCATTCTTGTTAAACTTTCCCCATCCTTTCTTTCAGCATAGCTACACATCCTTGTGTCTTCCCCCTGCCTTGTGCTGTGCAGAAAGGTTTCATGCAGAGTCTGTGCTTGTGTTTACAATGAGGTTGAGGGGCTTAATTGGTGCTTATTCAAGTGCGTCATAGCATTAGCTCCAAAGGTCAGGACATATTAGAGAGACATATTAGTGAGGAATGCAGTTTGGTGTTGTGGCTGTTCCAAAAAAAAAAAAAACAGAAATCTTGGTGTAACACATCCTCCAGCTGCTTGTTGCTAGAGGGACTAACTTTCCCAAAAGTCTGTGGGAGACTTCACAAATGTTATTCTTGAAATGCCCTGGGTCCTTTTTCAACTATCTTGGAAGAGGCTGAGGTCAAGAACTACCAAATTGAATGTGTGAGGAGATGGGTGGTACTGAGTCAGGATGATTGAAAATAGTTGCAGGCAGAGCAGTAGAAAAGAAATTGCCCTCTGGCTTGGAGAATCTCTCTGTGCTTGGGGGGGGGGGGATCACATCACTCTATTCTAAGAAAGGGGATAAATTGACTGTTTGGTTTTCTTTGATCCCCCAAATCAGTGAAGGCTTTCTGACTTGATTCCATGCAGATTTGCTGCTAGATCATTTTAGAAGCTGTAGTTGAGATCAAGAAGGGAATCGTAGGTTTCCTGTAGTATCTCCTGCTATTTGCGGCAATATCATTTAAGTAGCCATGTGGCTCTAGAGCCCTCAACTTCAGCCCTAATCTTGAGGCTACTTGTGCTACCATATCCCCATGTAGAATGACTGACAGCGCTGTTTGCAAGTCCTATAAAATAGTGAAAGGGATTTTCACGTGCAAACCGACTGGAAGATCTGGGGGAGAAAGAAAGATTAAAAGAAGAAATAATTAAGATTTTTTTAAAAACCATTTGTAACCTAGGTAGAGAAACATAGAATTAGAATACAGAGATAAAAATGTATAGACTAAATAAGAATAGTCATAGAATAGTAGTAAACTTAGCATAGGTAATTCTCAATTTGCAACCATTCATTTAATGATAGTTCAAAGTTATTGTGCTGCTGAAAAGTGACTTGTGACTCACACTCATTACCATTGTGGCATCCCCATCATCATATGATCAAAATTTGGGCATTGGCAATCGGCATGTATTCACAAACCATTGCAGCATCTGGCCTTGTGGTTTGCTATTTTCCAATAAGCAAAGTCCTTCTGTGGCTCACATCCATGTCTATGGAGATTCTCAGTCATCCAGGTCATGGTTGTCCCAAAGGCTCTTTTTCAAAAGTCAACCAAACGTTCTTCGTTTTTCCTTAAAGACGTTTCTTCAGTCCCTGAAGAACTGAAGAAGCTTCTTGGATGAGAAGCGAAACACCTTCAAGGATAAACAAAGAAAGTCCAGTTGTCTTTTGGAAAAGCACCATTGGGACTCACCTCTCTTTGCTTTCCATACCAGCCCAGGTATTGCAGTCCAAAGAATCTAAAGTGTAGGACTGAGAAAGGCCTATGCAGATTGCCAAGTCATACACTTGAGTTCCTAGCATGAATTTTTGTTACCTGGAAATTTGAGAAAGAGATACAGTATAAATAGAGTATAAAAGAGATGAAAGATAAAGCCCACTTTTTCCCCACTAAGTTTTCTCTCGGTGTCTTCTATCGCAGCTAATGTTTCCAAGACACTGTAGAAAAATATTTGTGGGTTTTATGCTCTACGAGTTTTGTCTAATTTCAGATAGGTCAAGACACAAAGAACCCAGCAGGATTACAAGATATGGATAAGATATATTATCTTCTGACAATGCCTTTAAGAATGCTGCCTGAGTTATTTCGAAGAGGCAGCATCTTTAACAACAACAACAACAACAACAACAACAACAACAACACCTGTTTAAAGTCAAGACCTTTTCTTTCGATCTGCAAATCTCACTTCTGTTTCTGTGGCATGTTCAGCCAGATTTGGGCCTGTCTTCTACAGAGGCTCAGTCAGGCTCAGCAAAACATTAATCTGTTGTAGCTGGGTCACCTCCAAATGAAATGCTTCTTGTACAGATGTAGTTTCCTTCCTGAATAAAGAGCTTATTGTAGCAATGTCTTCTCTGG